CAGATAATTCTTGTCACACCCCTTCAATATTTGCTTTTTGAAATTTATCACCAAAATATCATTATTCCCGATCTCCACATTCAGCAAAACATCGAACTTAACAGAGCAATGACCACTTGCACCCAGATGTTCTCCAATTTCCACAATCTCAACCATTTCTATATTAGAAGTTAACAATAAATCTAAAGTAGCACTGTTTCTGGTAGGTTCTTTGACCAAATGGTTGCAATGCCACAGTTTGATATCTCTAATTATGTCAAACATAATATTTAACTATAAAAGTTTAAGTACAACAAGGAACCTGTTAGTGTTACTTGAGTAAAAAACTAGGAAACATATTATGCTAATATAATAATAGGTAGGCAAACAACTATATATAAGCATAAGAAAAAGTTTCACTTGAAACATGTAGTATATTCCACAATCAATGAAACTTTTCCTTATGACTTATAAATCGCCGTTCGCCTACCTATTAGTATTATTGTTATCGATTTAACCAAATTAATGATACCGGTATTTTCCTTTAGTCTTTAGTTTAGGTCGCAACTATCACGACATACACTTAAATTATACTGTAGGTAGAAAGATATAGGTATTAAAAGTAAAACGTCCTTTACACTTAAAAGTTAATTTCTTCAGGTTACAATTTGCAACCACTTAATCAAATGTTACTGTTAGTGTTAGGCTTACGACGAATATCATGATATTTAACTTTTACTTTTAGGCTCTACATATTGTAGACAGTAAAGGCTTACAAACTCTATAGTTGTAATTCTAGTATTACTAGGAAAGCTAAAACATATAACTTATAAAGCTTACCGTTCATTAACTCATTAACTAAACTACAAATGCTTTTAATATTAAAATTAATTGTTTCAGTCATTTTACAAATCTATTTTATTTTCTTCGTCGCGTCTGTTCACGTACTATAGTATAAATCTTACAACCAGACTTAACAAATCTAGCACTGTCGTCTGCTTCGATTAAACATAAATACATGTATTACATCGCTAACTTCAGTTCTAATCATACACCATACACGGTTTTCTTTTTACGGTGTATCAAGGTTGTCGTGAGAACGTGTCTGAGAATTTTGACGAATAAATAAAGTAGGTTCTTTTCATTCTTTCTACCCCTAACTATAGCCAGTCACCAGAGTCATAAGTCATAGAGATCCACAAACAAATATAACTTATGAAACCTCACCCCTTTCAAAGGTAAGCTTTAATAGTGTATTTATGTCTTTTACGAGGTAAATACGTGGGATAACTACAGCCCTATGGGCGATAATAGAAGCTTTTTAAGCCCATATTATAGTTAACAACCATCTCTATACTTTACAAATTACATACATCTGGCTGACTTATGTATATCACTATATGAACAAAGGTATTCCAAGATTACTTCGAGCTGCCCCTTCTCAATATATTCTGGTGTTTATCTTTCAGAATATATTTACAATACATAGGACTTACAAAAGGATAAAATACAAACATAAGGAAAATGTTAATGCTTATATAGATGAGGGTAAGGGTGTAGATTTGGTGTATCTCGATTTTCAGAAAGCATTTGACAAGGTGTCACATAAAAGGCTTGTACAAAAATTATCTCTATAGATGTGGGGGATAAGTTAGCAAATTGGATAGAAGAGTGGCTCTGTGGAAGAAAGCAGAGGGTTGTTACAAATGGAGTTCAGTCATACTGGATTAATGTCACAAGGGATATTAAAGGGATAAAAAGGAGCTTATTAGCCCATCAAGGATGTCTCTTTCAGCTCCCAACTGTAACCACTCCTTACTACTCGTGTATTCATCCAATCTTTTCTTGAACTCAGTTAAATTTTCTGCCTCCACCACCCAAAA